AAGTGTTAGCATCTCTTAATACTTATTTTATTTGTATTATTTATCAAGAGATGAATTTCATTGTAAAATCACTTTGATAAAGTGTAGGTCATGTTGAAGTCCCTTAAAGATCAACATTGTATAAGGATCGGTGCTCTTTGTTGTGAGTCACCGCGTAGGTCATATTGAGATCCCGTAAAGCTCAATAGTGTGAGTCGTGTTGAGGTCCTATAAAGCTCAACATTGTATAAGGATCAGTGCTCCTTGTTTCTAAGTCATCGAAAGCGTTGTAAATGGTTGAATTGCACCATAAGTCAATTAACATGGTGAAAATGCCTTGTTTGTGCCTGGTAACTTAGTAACGGAGGACATAGATCATTGTTTTGGATCGAACCTCTACAATTATATCGTTTGCATCATTTTTCCTTTTTACTTATCGTTTTTATATTTGTGCTTACTGTTTCAATTAACTTATTTAGTCTTTACTTGCTTGAATTTAGATTAATTTTTCGAAAAAGTTCTAAAAACCAATTCACCTCCCTCTTGNTTGATCTACTTGCTTCAACTTATTTACGATTATTAATCTATCAACGTGTTTTTAACTTATGTGATTCTAGTTAATTATTCGAAAAAGTTTTAAAAACCAATTCACCTCCCTCTTGGTTAGTTATTCTTGGGCTATCATCACTATCTTTTTGAGTGAATGATGAGATTTCCTTCTTAAGGGCACTAGTCTTATGGTGTGGAAAATATTTATTAAAAAACGCTTGAGTCATTTTGGCCCAAGTCCCAATCGAACGTGGTCTCAAAGAATACAACCAGCTTTTTGCTCTTTCTTTAAGTGAAAATGGGAAAAATTTATGCCTGAATGCGTTCGTTGTACCATGTTGATTGTGGAAGGTTGCTACCACCCCCTCAAATTCCCTAATGTGCATGTATGAATTTTCATCTCAAGTCCTTGAAAATTGGGAAGAAGTTGAATCATTCCCGGTTTAAGATTTATACGTGGCATTTTAGGTGGAAACATTATGCATGATGGCGTGGATGTGCGTTTGGGGTGAAAATAATCATGTAAAGTCTTAAAAGGCATATCGCTATGTTCACTATCAGTCATGGTGTTGTGTAGTGTGGTGTTCGTGGCAATAGATACAGTATCAAAGATAGGGCTAGAAAGAGATCCACACTGGAAAATGTCCTTCTATAGAGCTTACTTGCTCGTCTTAATCCCTACTCATAAAACACGAGAAAAAATAGAACTATATAAAAATAAAATAAGAAATAAGAAAACTAAAATAGCTAAAAACAATAATAAAGGAACGAGTTACCCTTTTCAGTTGATCCCTTAGTGTTTGGTACCGTCACCCAGGAAACGACGTCAAAATTTGATTACGCTCAAAGAATAACGTGTAATTGTAGAACAGTTTTGGGGTGTCGATTCCACAGGGAGATGGAAAAATACTCAAGGGTTCAACAAATTACGATTTTTCGTGAATTGTTTGAAAATAATTTGTTTTTCGAAATAAAATTTAAATATTAATGAATTAAGTAATGAAATTAAAATCAATGAATTAAAATTGTGAATCGTCGGAATTTCCTCAATTGGATCAGATCATTCAACGTCCATTATTCATTTTTCATAACTCAATTATAGGCTTTCATCTCGTCACTTTAATCGGAAGATTTATCGTTAAAAACCAATTTAATTCAAATGTAACCCTAGAATCTAGATTTTCTGCAACAATTTTCCATATTTATTTATTGAAATCAAATTATAAATCGACTATATATATCAATCATAAGGCAGTAAATAATCACACCAATAAAATAAATAAAATTGAAATTCAACAAGTATTTCGATGGTTCGATAGAAAAAACATGACTAATGTCTATGAAAAATCTAATAATAGTCAAACCAATTTCAAAATAAATTTATAAAGAGAAAATCTAAACCTAGAATTATTTAAC